GGTCGTCATCTGACGGGATCCACTCATCACCTGAGCGGAACACCTCCACTCATCCGCTGGTCCTCACCCAGCTGAGGACCTGTCACCCGACTCTCAGCTGACTGGACCCCTGTCACCACACTCTCACTCAGCTGAGAACCTGTCACCCGACTATCAGCTGACTGGAGCCCTGTCACCACACCCTCACTCAGCTGAGGACCTGTCGCCCGACTCTCAGCTGACTGGAGCCCTGTCACCACACCCTTCACTCAGCTGAGGACCTGTCACCCGACTCTCAGCTGACTGGTCCCCTGTCACCACACCCTCACTCAGCTGAGGACCTGTCACCCGACTATCAGCTGACTGGAGCCCTGTCACCACACCCTCACTCAGCTGAGGACCTGTCGCCCGACTTTCAGCTGACTGGACCCCTGTCACCACACCCTCACTCAGCTGAGGACCTGTCACCCGACTCCCAGCTGACTGGAGCCCTGTCACCACACCCTGGCCACAACGAGACCCTGTCAACGACACGTACCTGACCTGACCCTCTCCTGGCCGGGCATCGTCGCCCAACACTCCCCTGACTAGAACTCTGCCACTCAATCCTGGCGTGGCTCTGAACCCTTCCCAGAGCTTCACCTGACCCCCACCTGTCCGACGACCTGTCATACGACTCACCTGACCAAGAACCTGACAACCAGCGGAGGGCGTTCATAATGTTCACATCTCATAACATCTACAGCCCATAATGTCCGCAGTTCATAATGCTCACAGTTCACGATGTCCACAGTTTACGATGTCCGCAGTTCATAATGTCAACAGTCCATAACGTCCACAGTCCAAAATGTTCACGGCTCATAATGGACACAGTTCACGATGTCCACAGCTCATGATGCCCGCAATTCATGATGTCCACATTTCAGAATACCCATAGCTCATAATATCCACGGTTCACAATGTCCACAGCTCACAACGTCCACAGTTCAGAATGTCCACAGGTCATTGTCCACAACCTGGCGCTGCCTGCGTCCGCCAGGATGAGAAATTCTGCCCTTGTGGGAGAGCGGCGTCGCTAAGCGCCGTGACGTCATTTCCTCCGATTTGGTATGCAATTCAGCACCGTTGTTGCAAGGTGAATCTTCCGCGCCCTCCCGAAGCCCGACACTCAAGCCCGACTGGGAAGAGGGCACATGGGTTACAGCGCATGGGCTACGACGCATGGGCTACGACGCATGGGCTCCCCGATATATGCTATGTCCCGCCCATACTTTTCGCAGTTTACACTTGGCCTCATAACGACAGCTAATGACATCTCATAAATGTCTAATATGCGAGTCAGGGTCTCAATGGGTGTCCACGCCAAAAATAGGGCTTACGAAATTAAGTGTAACCTGCGCGAAAACCATGAAAGGGACATAGCTTATGTCGGGGAGACCATGCGCCCTATTCGTCTGAGATATAATGCACACCTGCGAGACACAAACAGCAAAACAGAGAATGCCCCTTTCAGCGATCTATTTTTGACAAAACACGCTCAGGCTGAACTCCCAAGAGATCTTTCAGGGCCCACAGTGCCTAACAGGGGCCCCTGTGTTCGGCAAGGAGCCCGAGTCGGTCAGAGGCAATGTCCGAGGAGGCTCCAAGAGCCTGGAGGGCCTATCGGGACCTGTGATCAAGGACCCGATTGGAGGGCCTTAGGGCACAAAGGGCTGGTCGAACTCTTATTCAGGGGCCCTGGCCTGCGGGGACGGGTCCTCAAACGACAGTCAGCGCGCTTCTTGCGCCGATCGAGGACCCCTGGGTCGATATGGGCCTATGTGTCGGCCAGGCGCCTCCAGTGCCGTACAGTCCGGCTTCGGGTAGGTATGGACCTGTGGGCCCACTGCCCAATCAGTTACAAAGCCGGGCCTCTGCATCTGCCAGAGTTCACAGCCCTTTACAGAGGATCCTGTGTTTGCGCGGGGCTCCGAACCAGCAAATGGCAGTGTTCGATGAGGCCCGAAGAGGGGCCAGGGCGGCCCACCGAAACCGTTGATCAAGGGCTGGGTTGGAGGGCATGAGGAACCGGAGAACTGGTCGCGTGTCACATTAAGGATGCTCTCCTGCCCGTAAAGCCGCGACCTCAAATGCCGGTAAGGGAGTCTCTTGCATCGATTGGGAACCCCTGTGACAGTGCGGGCCTCTATTTTGGCAAAAGACCACCAACGCCGCACAGTCGTCTGCCTGTCGGTCTGAACCCTGGGGCCATTTCCAAAGCACGAGCGAGGCCGGACTCGCGATCTGCGTTAGTTGGGGTCACTGTAACCATGAGGGTGTCGGCCAGGGGTCTGCAGTGCCCAGCAGGGTGCCATGTGTCGGCAAATAGCCCGTGTCGCTTGGAATCGTGTTGGCGGGGGTCCGAAAATGGGTCCGAAGAGGCCCTTCGGGACCAAAGATAAAGCGTCCGATTGAACTCTGGCACAGCTCCTTAATCATGGTGCCATGACCTGAAATATCCGTCAGAAGGCTTATTTTATGCCACCCTTATTACGATTCTCCATTCCTATTACAAAGGGCCTCGTCACGGAGCCAACTAGTCGGCTCCATGTCCACCTGAGACCTTGAGGCCCTTTTTCCACGCAAGAGCGGGGTCGGGATCCGCAATTTGTGATGTTCGAGTCCCTGACACAATGAGGGACTCCGGTATCGGTCAGGGGCCACAGTGCTTGGCAGGGGTTCTGTAGCGGCAAGTGGCCTCGAGTCGCCCGGGCGCGGTGTTTGGGAGGTCTGGATAGGGATCATAAGATCTCGAGACCAAAGATCGGGGACCCGATTGGAAGGCTGAAGGGCCGGAAGGCTGGCTGTAGTTCACATTAAGGACCCCGCCCTTGGGGCCGTGATCTCAGCTGTCAGTTAGAGGGCCGCTTGCACTGATTGGGAACCCCTAACACAGAGCGTTACTCTTTTTCGGCCAGAGATCACCAACACCGAATAGTCGAGCCCGTGTCGGTCTGATCACTTGGGGCCCATTTGCCCAGCAGGGACAAGGCCGGGCCCGCGCTTTGCATTGGTCCGGGCCCCTGCAACAATGCGGGACTCCTGCAGTGGTCAGGAGCCCAGTGCCTAAGAGAGCCTTGTGAATGTGCCTTGTGAACAAGGGGCTTCAAGTCGATCAGGGGGGCACTTGCTCAACAGGGACGGGAACGGGACTCCGAATGACAGAGGCCCCATTATGTTTGCCAGGGCCCTCTGACAATGACAGGAAACATGATGACTCATGATGACTGCTCACATTAAGACAATGAAAGGGTCCTGTGCCAGTCAGGGCCCCAGTACCGAACGTTGGATCCTCCAACCCAATTCCAGCATGGGCCCGTTAAACCGAACTTGAGTCTTTGTACCTATTATCAGACCACCTGCGGGCGACCAGGGAAGTTGTTACGTCAGTGAGGACTCCTGCCTTGATCGGAGGGCAAATGCGCGGGTCAGAAAGCCTTCCGCGTAAGGAAGGGGACCAATGTGATATGATGTATCCCTCTAAGAGCTTCGGGATCGACCAGGGAATCCCGTCCCGCGTCGCCATTGTGGCAGCCAGTTAGACATCCCTCGGTGGAACGGCGCGACCACTCAGCCCTTGACTGGAAACAACATATGCTTCCTGATGATTTACTCAAAGGGTGCTTTACCCGGAAAGAAATGAGGGGTCTCATTAGTGTTGAATATAGTGGGTTGGAACGAGTGAAAAATGAACAAGGCCATCCCATATTTGCCAGATAACGTTTGTTCCGTTGCAGAATCGATACGTGAAATAGATTATATCAAAAGGTTTGACCTTGCGCGACCGCAACCTCGGGAGTGAGGACATCGATAGTTTGGATCGCAGTTTCCGTAAAACTGAACGGCGTTGGCCACTGCAAGTGACGCCAGGCGAAGAGAACCGTGTGCGCGGAAACGACCGTCATGGGATAATGGTTCCGAATGTCCGTTAAAATTGATTCGCACCGTTTAAGGAGAAGACTGGGCGAATTTCTTACAACTTAGAGGATGTCCTCTGGACAGATACCAGTTACAGTAACATGAAACATAGAGATTTTGCCTCTACTCTTCCAACTCCACCACCGGATTGCGACACCACTTCGCGGTGCTGTTAAAGCCAATCCGTTCTGTAAAGGCCAATCATCAATCTTAAAATCGCGCTGATGAAACGTCCACCCTGACTTCGTTCTAGATGCACAATTTGATGGCATAAAACGCTCAAAGGCACTTCTCTCAAATACGTTATCGTTTCGTCCACCCGTTGGCCACAGCTTAGTGCTAGATGCGGGGCCAACGCTGCGCGTCGTACGGAAACTGCAACGTTTAGCGTCGATGTTTTTGTCACCAATATTTTCAAGCGCACATGTTCAAGACTACATCACATAACTTGCATCAATAATCGATCCCGACTGCATGTTTAACATGTCCAAAACAAAATGTTTGAGCCATGTTGATACAGTGGTGACACATTTCGATCTAAATCTACATTCGTACGGTCCCTAATGTAGCTGTATAACTAGAAAGATACAAATTCTAACTTCTGAGTTCTATTGGCTTGGAAGGAGTCCACCGGGTCAGCAAAAATGGAAAGCGCCGGTGATCTATTTTATGCAGTCGCTTAACGCATGATTTCTACAGTATATTGACGATAAAATTCAGGCAGAATTGATCTCGCGGTAGCTTCTGGCTTTTATTCAAGTTAAAAGAGGACAATTAAAACAGTGTCATAGCAAGGCGTGTCCTCATTTACATGTGGGCCATATCCAGATATTTCTTTTTTGGGGGTGGGGAGCCTTTCATTATCAGCGGGCCCTTTGTCGATATTGTGCCACCTCTTGGTTAAGGCTCTGACTGTACGCCTGTACGCAACCTCAGACAGAAACTAGCTTAAAAGGAATGTTCCACATTCGAAGATGTCGCAGCAAACATCACGCATGGTGAAATAAGCTCACTTAGAGCTATTGGCATGTTTTTAGGTGGAAAAGATTGCTCAAGGCAACACAAGTTTCTTATGTAGTAACCACGCTCCTAAATACGCCCTTGTTTGATTGCGTCATTTTACCTTGCACAGCATTGATTGACGGTCAATTGACGACCATTACATCTGGAAAGTGCGCGCACGAACGCCAGATATCAACGACTCGACAACCATATTGTTATTGACATTGATCTCCGCATACCAATGATATGACAAGATTATGATGAGGTTACTATGATGTCATGGATGCCGGGGTGACCTTGAGATAACCTTCCCGAGATAGTCAGCACGCCTTCGCGGTCGAGCACTCGCAAACTGGAGGGGTTTGGGCCTTACGAAGGGCAGGGCTGTGGACTTTACCGAATGATCTTCGAGGTTGCTACTTCAGTTTAAAACCCCATGCAAATGTGGGGCACTCTGTAAAATGTATGATGCTACTGGGCGAATCTTATGAAGCACCCGGAAGAGACGTACCCCGCTGAGCGCTTTCCCCACCTGTCACAAAATTCCTTTGGTGGCAAGTGCCTTGCAAAATCAGGTAAGTCTGGTGCCGGGGCTCAAGACAACTTG